GTAAATAGTTGAGTTTTACCATTTTGAATCCATTCAGCTGATCTGTAAAAGCACTTTTAGTTAGCTTAGCTTAGCATAAATCATTGAATTGGATTAGACCGTTAGCATCTCGCACAAAAATGATCAGAGTTTGGGTAAATTTCCTATTTAAAGCTTGACTCTTCTGTAGTAAAATCATGTACTAAGGCTGACAGAAAATGAAAAGTTGTTTATTTCTTGGACAATTTCTCTGGGAGCTATACTTTCCTTCTAGCGTAATAATCAAAGTTTACATGGCAGAAAGAAAGTATAGCTCCTAGCCATATCAACAGCTATCGACGATATAAAGTTTCTGTAAGTCTTAGTAAACGATAAAACTACAGAAGAGTCAAGCTTTAAAAAGAAAAATGATCAGAATTAATTTTTGAATTTGAGCGAGATGCTAATGGTCTAATCCGAATCAATGATCTATGCTAAGCTAAGCTAAAAGTGCCGAATGTATTCAAGAAGGTTAAAACTGATCTGTTTAACTCTAATGGACATGTGTTCAATTAACAATCAACCAGTGTTCCTTTAAAAAGACATTTTGACCCATAAAGAAAACAATTTTTCAGATCTTTCACTGTAAATACAGAAATGCTGGGTTGTTGTAGCCCAATGTTGGGTCAAATATGGATAAACACAACTGTTTGGTTAAAAAACTAAATTTAAATTTTAAAATTACTAAATTATTTGCAAAAATGCTGGGTTGTTGTAGCCTGACGTTGGATCAAATATAGACAAACCCTACTGCTGTTTGGTTAAAGAAACATAATGTACATTTCACAATTATTAATTAAATTACAAAAATGCTGGGTTGTTGTAGCCCAATGTTGGATCAAATATGGTCAAACCAAACTGCTGTTTGGTTAAAAAACTACATTTAAATTTTAAAATTACAAAATTAATTGCTAAAATGCTGGGTTGGTTTAGCCCAACGTTGGGTCAAATAGGGACAAACCCAACTGTTTGGTAAAAAACATAATTTAAATGTCAAAATTATTATTAATTCAATTACAAAACTGCTGGGTTGTTGTAGCCCAATGTTGGGTCAAATAGGGACAAATCCAATTGTTTGTTTAAAAAAAAAACTATGTAAATTTTAAAATTATTAATTACAAAAATGCTGGGTTGTTGTAGCTAAATGTTGGGTCAAAATTGGACAAACCAAACTGCTGTTTGGTAAAAAACATAATTCAAATGTCAAAATTACTAATTAAATTACTAAAATTGTGGGTTGTTGTAGCCTAACATTGGGTCAGATATGGACAAATCCAGCTATTTGGTTAAAAAATAAATTTACATTTCAAAATTATTAATTAAATTACAAAACTGCTGGGTTGTTGTAGCCCAATGTTGGATCAAATATGGACAAATCCAATTGTTTGTTTAAAAAAGAACTATGTAAATTTTTAAATTATTAATTACCAAAATGCTGGGTTGTTGTAGCTAAATGTTGGGTCAAATATGGACAAACCAAACTGCTGTTTGGTTAAAAAACTACATTTAAATTTTAAAATAAAAAAAAAATTCATTGCTAAAATGCTGGGTTGGTTTAGCCCAACGTTGGGTCAAATATGGACAAACCCAACTGCTGTTTGGTAAAAAACATAATTTAAATGTCAAAATTATTATTAATTAAATTACAAAAATGCTGGGTTGTTGTAGCCCAATGTTGGGTCAAAATTGGACTAACCAAACTGCTGTTTGGTAAAAAACATAATTTAAATGTAAAAATTATTAATTAAATTACAAAAATGTTGAAACAGTGTAGCCCAACATTGGGTCAAAATATGGACAACCCCAACTGCTGTTTGGTTAAAGAAACATAATGTAAATTTTACAATTATTAATTAAATTACAAAAATACTGAGTTGTTGTAGCTTAATGTTGGGTCAAATATGGTCAAACCAAACTGCTGTTGGTTAAAAAACTACATTTAAACTTTAAAATTAAAAAAAAATTAATTGCTAAAATGCTGGGTTGGTTTAGCCCAACGTTGGGTCAAATATAGACAAACCCAGCTGCTGTTTGGTAAAAAACATAATTTAAATGTTAAAATTATTATTAATTAAATTACAAAAATGCTGGGTTGTTGTAGCCCAATGTTGGGTCAAATATGGACAAATCCAATTGTTTGTTTAAAAAAAAAACTATGTAAATTTTAAAATTATTAATTAAAAAAATGCTGGGTTGTTGTAGCTAAATATTGGGTCAAGATTGAACAAACCAAACTGTTCGGTTAAAAAAAAAAACTATTTAAATTTCAAAATAATAAATTAAATTACAAAAATGTTGGGTTGTTGTAGCCTAACATTGGGTCAGATTTGGACAAACCCAACTGTTCGGTTCATTCATTCATTTTCTTGTCGGCTTAGTCCCTTTATTAATCCGGGGTCGCCACAGCGGAATGAACCGCCAAGTTATCCAGCAAGTTTTTACGCAGCGGATGCCCTTCCAGCTGCAACCCATCTTTGGGAAACAACTGTTCGGTTAAAAAACATAATTTATAATTAATTGAAAAAGGAAATGTTTTGTTTGTTTATATTTGACCCAATGTTGGGTTACAGCAACTCAACATCTTTACAGTGTGATTTGTTCGTCTTCTTTAAATCTTGAGTTGAAACACAACCCTAAACATGTTCCTGACAGACCTGATGTGACATCCTCATTATGTCTAGATTCATTCCCTGCTAAGCCGATGTTTTATTTTGGACATTGGACATGACGGCGTACATCGAAACTGTGTAATAAGTCAAATCTGTGTGTGTGTGTGTGTCCACTGAGGACGCGTCTCTCTGAGGAGGTTCGTGTCCATCCAGATGCGTCTTTGAAGTTCAGACGCAGTGAACGGCTCCATGGGACACTGTCAGTTCCCAGTCAGTTTTACACGTTTTTGCCTCTTTCCATCTGTTGAGCATATTTTCCTCCATCTGCGTGCCCTGCTCATGCGACGGCTCCTCTTTAATGTTGCTCTCCATGTGGAAATAGTATAAACGTCTCCAAGGAGTTTTGCATCCATGAGATTGCGACGTCGGGTCATATTAATGATATTTCCTAAATACCAGCGCTATTGTTGTGTTTATCCAGCCACATATTGAGCGGTGACGCAGGTCTAAACACGGCTTTAATCCTGTCCTGATCTCATAATCATTTCCTCCAATAAAGAGTTAGTTTTTCATTAAATCTGCTGGCGATGCTACAGTCATTAATAATAGTCCTGAGGATACCCAGAATGCATTTCTCCATGGTTATGCAACAGTTTTATTATCACACTGTAAAAATGTTTTCTTTTTTCTGCTTGCTTTATTTTCGGAGTTCAACTATCTAAACATTCCTAAATAAAGACATGTTTACTTCATGAGCAAAATGACAGAGTGTTGGATGCACACAACAACAAATATCCGCCATTGGAGACAGATAAGAATGATCATTTATTTATATAGATCAACACGTTTAATGTTTACTCCAGTTTTTTAACTTGACAACCATATAGAGAACACCACAGCATAACACTCTTGCAAAACCATATTAATGCTCTGATATCACCCAGAACACCTTCAGCAAAACAACAGCAAAGCAACACCCTAGATAGATACCACCTAGAACATCAAACAAAGGCAACCAAATGGCTTTTCAAGAGCATAGAAGCACACTATATACCTGCCAAAACACCTTAGCAACAGCATAACAACACCCCGAATGTCACCAAAAACACCTTAGCAACAGCATAACAATGCACAGATACCACCTAGAAACAAACAGCACATCAACACCTTAGATACCAGCCAAAACACCTTATCAACAGCATAACAACACCCCGAATGTCACCCAAAACACCTTAGCAACAGCATAACAATGCACAGATACCACCCAGAACAAACAGCATAGTAACACACTAGATACTACCCAAAACACCTTAGCAGAAGCATAGCAACACCCCGAATTTCACCCAAAACACATTAGCAACAGCATAACAATGCACAGATACCACCTAGAAACAAACAGCACATCAACACCTTAGATACCAGCCAAAACACCTTATTAACAGCATAGCAACACCCCGAATGTCACCCAAAACACCTTAGCAACAGCATAACAATGCACAGATACCATCCA